AATGCAATAAACTCGGCTGTCATGAAAAAATCTGTAATGCATATTTGTTTCTTAAAATCCCAAGAAATGTCATTACCACCAAGTACAAAGATTCACCCATTTGTAGAAGCATAATCTTTCATATTAATAATCCAACTAGCATCAGAATATCATTCTATAATTGAAGCATATCTACTATAATACAATCCATAATTGATTGTTTTCTTCAAATATTGAAGTACTTTTTAATTGTTTGTCAATGCAAGTTACTTGGATTACTTGTGTACTTACTCAACTTTTCAACAGCAAATGCTATGTTTGATTTTATACAAGTCATTGCATACATCAAATAATCAATTACTCTTACATATTGCAATTGATTGATTGTTTTACCAATATCAAATACTAATTTTAGTTGAGAATTCACGCATGTAGATACTAAAATACAATCGAAAATATTAAACTTTTTAAATATTTTTTCAATATAATGCAATTGTGACAAGGTTGTGCCATTATTATTTTGGATTATTCTAATTCCAATAATAACATCCGTTACACCTATATCTTTCATTGAAAAGTTATTTGATAAAATTTTCTTTGTTTCCTTAACTTGTTTAGAATTAATGCCAAATATTAGTATATCATCCACATATAAACAAATTATGACTTATTTGCCATTTTTAAATTTGTTATATATGCACTTATCTGACTCATTAATTCTAAAATCATTAGTAAAAACGATTTCATTAAACTTTGATGCCATTATTTTGGTGTCTGCTTAAGTCCATACAAGGACTTTACAAGCTTACAAACCTTATGCTATTAACTTGGAATGATAAATCCTTCTGGTTGTTCTATATATACATTATTTTTTAATTCACCCTTTAAAAATGATATCTTTACATCCATTTTACGTATAATCAAATTATAAATCAAGGCAAGTGAAATTAGAAACCTAATTGTAGCAATTTTAGCTACTAGAGCATAAGTATCAAAGTAGTCTATCCTTTATTTTTGTGTAAAGTTCTTAGCTACCAACCTTACTTTAAATTTACCTATAGTTTCATCCACTTTCATTTTTTTTTTGAAAATCCATTAACAGCCTATTGGATTAGAATTTGGTAGAAGGTTAACCAAAATCTAGGTGTTATTTTTCATTATTGAGTCCATTTTATCATTTATTACATTTCTTTCAAAAGCAGAATCTTGAGATTTCATTACTTCTTCATATGTAATAGGATCAGACATCGCATTAAAACAATAAGAAATTTTATTGTTTATGCCTTTATTAGTCACTTCCATAAGAAACATAAAGAAATTTGGTACAAAATCTTTTACCTTTCTAACCATTTTGCTTGTCCTTATTTCTTAACAAGATTCATCACTAATTTTAGTTTGTTCCAATGGATTTGAAAATTTTTTTCACTTATAGGATGAATCACTTGTAGTTGTCTCGAAATAGATTTAAATCTATTTTCATAAAAAATTGCATCTCTTGATTCAATAACAGTGTTAACTGAAATTGAATCATTTGGTTTATAACCATAAACCTATATGCTTTACTATTTTATGCATATCCTATAAATATGCATTTTATTCCCCTTTCATTCAACTTTTTTCTTGTGGGTTCTGAAATTTTAACTATAGTTCTATATCCCTAAACTTTTAAATAATTAAGATTTGGTTTTCTTTTATACCATTGCTCATATAGAGTTATTTTTATTTCTTTGTTAGGAATTTTATTTGGTATATGATAAGCTGTTAATAAAGTTTCACTCCAAAATCTTTGTCCAAGACCAAAATATGATAACATTGCATTTACCATTTCTATTAAGACTCTATTTTTCCTTTCAACTACATTATTTTTTATGGTGTAAAAGGAACAATAACTTTGTGGATTATTTTAATGGATTCAAAGTAACTTAGACTATAATATTCTTCACCCATATTCGACTTCAAGCACTTAATAAAAGATTCATATTAAAGTTTAATTTTATATTTATATATTTTAAACTTATCAAGTACTTCATTTTTGGAATATAATAGATAAACATAATAATATATAGTATAACTTTCTATAAATGTGATAAAATATTTCTTTTCAAATATGTAAAAGTGTTATGCATATCACAAATATCATTATGAATTAACTCAAGTAACTTTGCATTTCTTTTAACTTTAGAAAAAAGATTTATGGTAATCCAACATACATGTGTTACATTTATTAATGTATTGATTAAATTCAAGAATTAACAGAAGTTTACTCATATCATGTAATTTTTTATAATTTAAATGATCTAGTCTATAATGCCATAAATATGAAGATTCAACCATATAAGCAGAAAGAATATTCTTATTTTTATTAATAATATTGAGTTTGACTATCCCCCCATACATATACCTTTTTCAACTAAAATTCTTTCTTTAGATAGAATAAATTTATTTGTCTCAAATAAAAGTTTAAAACCAAACTTGTTCAATAGACTTTTACACACTAAGTTCTTCATAACTTCTAGTACATAATAAATATCATTCAAAGTTAGAGTTTTTTCAAAAGTGAATTCAAGGTCAACGATCCCTTTACTTTTGATTGTTGCTATAGGAAAAAAAATTTATGTTAAGGACACTATCATATTCATTTGGTTTGAATTTTGTGAGCATGTTTTTGTTCTTGCACACATTTTTTGTTACCCCAAAATCAACTTACCAAGATTCATCATTTTCAAACATGTGGATATCTAAAATCATGACAATAAAATTTTCAAATGTATCCCTTTTTAAGGAATCATTTTTCTTATGTAATAACCGATATTTTTTCTTGAAATGTACTAGCTTACCAGAATGGTAACATGACCCTTTCTTATTCTTTTTGAATTTACGCCCATTAGCAATCTGCTTAAACTTGAACTTCTTTTTGTTAGGTTTAGTAGTCTGTCTTTCCTCCAAAACATGAAATTTGGCATCATCAAAACTAAAATTATGTTATTACTTTTTGTATTTCTCTTTAATTAAAAGATGATTAGCCAAAGCTTCAAGGGATTTCCTCTTTTTTATGTTTCAGACTTCTTTTAAAGTCCTTCCATGATGAAGAAAGTTTGTCTATTATAAATGACACAATAATTGTTCCATCCATACTCATATTATATTATTTAAATTGATTAAGCATTCTTTTAATTTCATGTAATTTTACACAGTTGTTCAATTAAAGAATGTTTATGAACCATATGGTAATTATTGAAATTTTTAACGAAAACTTTTTTGCTTGTTGCATTTTTAGTCATATACTCGATCTTCAATTTGTCTCATAACTCATTTGCAATAACCTCATTTTGGTATATATCAAACATGCTAGCAGATAAACCGTTCAGAATATAACCTTTACATATATAATCTAAATTATCCCATTTTTACCTTTATCTTGTTACAGTAATAGATTCTTCTATTTCATTTTCTTCTAGCATGGGAGTCTTTAAAACATATCAACCTTCAAGATTGAAAATAAGAAATGCATTTTCTTTTACCATTTTTGAAAATTGCCATCATCAAAATGATCTCATTTTACAAAACTATAAGCCAATTCCTTGAGCATTGCTTCAGTAGCCATTGTTGAACCGAATAAAACATTAAAATTGTTAGAGCAATCACTAAAAATTTAAAATTACTGCTTCTAGTAAATCTCAAAATTTGAGAAAAAGCTCCAAAACGCGTAATGGTATTACTTTCCTTAAGGTTTTATTTGCCCTCATTATATTATTTACTTAGTAGCTGTGCAAAATGATTGCAGGCAATAAATTTTAAGGATACAATGAAATCAAGTGATTGATTATGTTTTGCACTGATGAAATTAACCCACCAAGCAATCGCCAACTTATTACAAAATCATTAAATTTCTATAAAGATTTTCTGCAGCAAAACTTTTATAAAAGAAATCAAAAGTTTGAAGAAAAAAGGAGAGTTTCAAGAATTATTTTTGTATGTTTTCAAAAAGCAGATGAGCTTTTTATAAATAGATAAGTATCATTTCCTACAAACATAACCGTCTATTTTAAATAGACAAAAACTATATATTTTTGAACAGTTAAAATTATTTATTTTGAAAGATTTATCTATCTGTTTTAAATAGATTTATCTATCTGTTTTTGTTTTTATTTTTATTTTTTAATGTGAAATTATTTTTCATATTTTATTTTGAAAATCTTTAACATTTATTCGACAACATAATTTTATTATCTTAAGATAATATTTGATATTTTTTACAAAATGATCATAATAATATAATTGTGAAAGTAATGTTATCATTGATAAAGATTATTATATCATAATGAAAATACTTATCAAATATAATAATTTAATTTCATGTATAAATTATTATAATTTTTAAAATTATCATTTCATTCTAAATGTTACCTAAAATGGTAATGTTTTTTATCAAATTGATTATAATTCTAATTCCTTTCACACAAATAGGTAAATCAAACAATGCAATTAGATTGAACACGATAACGTGAACAATTATTATTTAGTCAAATATTGTAATGTAATTGCATGTACTTCTCTTCAATCAAACATAAAGTTTTTTTTTTTTCAATTCGGATATTTAAAATCTAATTATTGATAAAAAAATGTCATACTTGTTTACATATTTGATAAAATATAAAAGATTATCGATGAAATTTATTTTATTCGTGTGATTAGATATGATGATTTTTTTTCATTGAAAAAATGAATTTATAATATTTTTTTAAATTCAGTATATAAGTTGTTAAATCATTATGGTTGAACTTCAAAATCAATTTTTTTCAAAAGTGAATCTTAACATGGTGATTATTTTATTTTCGAGTTCTCGAACTAAATTCTCATGCAAATTCACTCCCAATATCGCTTTTTTTAATATATATTTTGGATTATAGGTACAGTTTGAACTTAAAACTCTTTTATTGTAAAATTGATTCCGCTTACAATTTGATACTTCCAATCGTACTCAATTGCAACAACCCACCATCCCCAGTCACCCACTTTACGCCACAAATGTCACATCAAATCGGTTCATATGTCGCCACACCCGTGACATAATCTGCCATTATCGTGACGTAATCTTCCATCGCCAAATCCTCTCGTTTCGAATACCCTACCACCCCACTTAAAACTCGCCACGTCATGAAAATGAAAATGCTTCTCAAAAGCTCTTTAGGTTAACATCCGAACGCGAATATTGCTTTGCCCTTTTTGACAAAATTGAAAAGCCGAGAAGGGAGTTGGGAGAGTGGTGACAGGTGTATGGAGGGTGACAAGAGAAAGTCGGACGTGAACGAAGCCGTTCCGGGAGGATATCACAAGAGGGAGAGAGTGGACGTTAACGGGGAGGAGAAGACTGTGACGGAGGAGGAGGTGGAGGAATTCTTCGCGATCCTCAGGCGTATACACGTTGCGATAAATTATTTCAAGAAGGGTAACTACAACATGCGCGACTTAACAGAGCTGGGAAAGGCAGAGTCGCTGAATTTGGGACGGAACGTTGAAGTAAACGGCTGTAAGAAGACGGAGAAGGAAAATGTAGGTTTGGACTTGAATGCTGATCCGGGTACGGGTTCAGACCCGTTTTAGTTAGTCATTTCCGTCTCCATTTTAAATGCTAGTCTATCTGATTATCTTAGCTACATTATTGTTATTATTATAGATTTTTGGCCTATTGGTTACTCTAGTTTTGAATGCTGTTTATTGAGTGTAATTTACGAAGATATTATTGCATAGCCTTTCTTGCTGCTCTCAACAGCTTCACTTATGCACTTTAAACTTTTGAAAATTTCTTTTTCGTCCTTGATTTGATTAAGAAGAGCTTAAGGATTGTTTGAATACTTATACATTGAAGTCTAGAATTCTTTTCCATTCATCAAAAATTAGATTTAACGAATAAAAACACGATATTTTAACCAAAAAAATTTTTTTTTATATATTTTATATCGATTTAAATTAATACGTGAATTGTTAAATTTAAACAAAATCATTATGGTGTTGGACAAATGGGAGGGTAATGAACTTAAATTCGAGCTTCTATTTTTCGTGCCCTAACTGTGGCTTTGGGGGAGTTGAAGCTGCCATAATGATATTCAACTAATATTAAATGATGTTCTTATTATATTTATTTCCTAATTAATTTCTATCACCGTTTAAATAGACTTACCTAATATTCTTGTACGATTAAAAACTTGATTCGTTGAAAGATAAAAGGAAACATTGAAGACTTACCCAAAATTCCAAAAGCAGAAATGTAATCAAAATGAGGAGGGATGGTAATATTTAAAACAATACTAAGAGATAGAATGGTTTTGTAATCAAAAAATTTTAATGTATTGAGTTGGGTAGACCTTCAAAGGCAAATGCTTGGTTAGTTGAACACGAAGTGATGTGGAAATGACTATTTTATTCCTGGTTTTGCATCTTGTTTGTATTAATTTTCGAAGAATATTTTACTTACTGTTTTCATTATAATTTAATAATTATTCAATTTCAATACCAAAATTTTGAAAAAAATTTTATATCGGTAATAAATGCATATTAGGGATGTCAATATGAGACAAATTGAGTATTTTTATCTTTATCTTTTGATTTTTATATTATATTCATCTTTGTAAATGAATATAATTTATTATATTTTCATAGATATTTAATGAGTATGAATAATTTTTATATCTATAATTTTAAAGAATTTTTAAAATTTTTAAAAATTATTAATAAGTGTAAAATTTATATAATATTTATATAATTTTATATAATTGAACTATGAATTATTAATTATAATGCAATTATTATAGGTGCTGCCTTGTTTGATTGCTAAACTTTAATGCTTTATTTGAATGAATAATGAGATTAATTACAATGAAATTTAAAATAATAATAATTATTATAATTACAATTGAAAAAAATTAATAATAATTTTATATTAAATGAATTTTATTAAAATTAATATTTAAATTAAATTAATGATGTAATAAATTTAATTATACATCGTGAAAATATAATTGAATCCAAATGGTCAATAAATTAATAATTAGGGTCTATTTAGATAGACAACAAGTTTAGTTACGGTGAGATTAAAAATAATAGTAATGGTGAGATTAGTTATTATAGTGGTAAGATTAAAATTAATTATAGAAATATGTATTTAGATATAAACGCAATGGTGACAGTGAGATAAATTTTAATAAGATTAAAAATGACAATTAAAAATATTAGTTTAAAATTTATATGTAATAAAAATTTAAATTATTTAATTAAAAAATTTTAAAAAATATTTTTATGTAGTTATTTATTTTAATTAATTACTCAATTGTAAAAATATATATTTATTTATTATACTGAATTGATAAAATTATTTATAATTTTTAAACAAAAAAATAAAAGATAAAATGATAAGAATATTTTGGTCCTTACACCATATCTTCAAGGGCAAAAAAGAAAAAAAATGGATAATATTAAAAGACATAGCTACGGTAAAAAAAATAATTTTTTACTGAATCTAAAAAATCTAGTAGCGAATTGAAAGTGTGGTGCGATAAATTCTTCCCACCGTGCCTGACTGTAAATTTATTTGGATCACAAAATAGAGTTTTTAGTTTCGAACTGCACCTAACGGTCGGTGCAGTTGAATCCAAATGCAGCCTTAGTAACAAATAAATGGTGGCACATCGACAGCTTCACCAAAAGAAAAGGACAACGATTTTATGTTATTCTACGAAAAAACAGAACAAAAAAGAGAGGAATAGGATTCCCTATTTCCCGTAGTGGCTGTTCCACCTTTCTAACGTCATCTATCCTAATTGCCATGACGCAAAACTCATTACAACACCCCATCCGTCACCCCCAAAGAAGAATAAAATAGTAAGGAATAAGAATTATCTGTTGTCTATAAATATAGCTGATACTATTGTCATTAGGATTATCTTCGACGTTTCACTTGTCATGGAACCGGAGAAGAGAAAGCGGGGAGACGACGGCGAAGTGGACGGAAAGAGAGGTACGGAAAGGCAGGATATGAACGGCCAAGAGTCGAATGTGATGGAAACGGAAGTGGAGGAGTTTTTTGCGATCCTAAAAAGGATACGCGTGGCGGTTGAGTACTTCGAGAAGGCTAACGGCGGGGGACATAAGTTGACGACGGGTAACGGATGGAGGCCGAGTTTTGTGTTGGAGGATTTCGAGGGAGACAACGACGTTAACAACGAAGGAAAGCGGGTGGATTCGGAAGAAGATTCGGGTTTGGATCTTAACTTGGAGCCTGTATCTAAATAATAAGAAAAAAAAAAAAAAGATCGACTGATCATTAAATCCTAATTTAATTTGCGCCGGCTTCTTTAAGCATAGCTGCTACCGATATTTATGTCCTTTTTATTTTTCTTTGTATTTTTAGAAAAAATGTAATTGTAATTTTTGTAAGCAATTATATAAACACTTTTTCAACTCATTATCTTAATTATTATAATTAAGGCATTTTGTGATCTCTTTAACTTCACTTCATGTTTGTTCATTCTTGAGCTCAAATTAAATAGAATAGTGGAATGATTCGAAATTTAATTTAATTATTATAGCTAAACTTTTATTATTCAAAATTTAATTTAATTAATTAATTAAATTATTATAACTAAACTTTCATTTCTTTTATATCAAAAATAAAATAAAATAGTGAGTTTTATTGACTTTTTCTTTTGACCGCAAGAAAAGAAAGTTTTACTGAGTTTAAGTATAGTTTTTTTAGTATTTTTAATATTATATATAAATAAATAAGATACAATATAGTCGTATAGATGAACATGTTTATAAAATTTATTTCAATTAAATATTTAATCTCAAACTCATTTGAATTAAAAATATAAAGTTTAACTCAAAATCTCAAATATTGATTTATGGATTAGAGTTGAAATACAAATAAAAAAAAAAATCAAATCAAGTTATAATCAAAGCTTAAGTTTCTAGTGTTTTTTATGGAGTTCAAGCTCAAGCCTAACATAACATCAATGTATCTTGATTTAAAAACAAACATTATATGATCATGTTTGGTATATAAGATAATAGATAAAATAAAATAATAATTATCTTTTATTATATTTGATTTATATAAAAAGTAGATAAAATTACAAATAAAAAAATCATCTTCTTAACATAAAATGATTTAATATTTTTAAAGTTAAAAAAATATTTTTAATCTATAAGATTGAATTTACATATTTTATTATATTTTTAAAAATTATATCAATAATTTAAATTATATAAAATTTGAAAAATAATAATTTTGATTAATAAATAAATTATTTTATCATAATCTTTATACATATTAAACTTAATATAAAATTATATTATTTAATCTAATAATATTATATTATTTTATTTTATCATAATCATACATATCAAATATATCTCTAAAACCTTAAATATATATAAAAAAATAAAAAATCCATGTTGCATAAATTAACCATGTTTTTATTATTATCTATCTAAGTCAGACAGGAAAGTAGGGAGGCAACAATTTTATTGTTGCCATTAGCTATTTCCTCGGTACTCCCTCCATCAATGCTGTTAAAAGCAGTTTTTTGTTAGATAGAACCTGACCTTCCAAAATGTTGAATGGGGATGGTTTCGTGCAAGCAAAGAAAGTCCAACACTTTTTAACATTTTTCAATCCTATATGGTTCTCTCTCTATATATATATATATATATTATGAAGTAACGCACCGGGCTAAATAGTGAAAGCTGTGAGAGCTACCGTCATACGTCATTGATGGAATCTGCTTGAATTTCATCATATAGAAAAAAACAAAAAAAACCTAGGTCGTTTTAACTATGAAATTCAAACTTGTACTGGCCCATATTTGGCCCTTTTAGTTTAAGCCCTTAATCCTGATTCCTGGAAAAAGAGAAAGGACACGTTCAATGGGCATATAATTTCACAAAGCCTGAAAACTTAGGTCTGCCGCCTTCAGGCCCCGAAATCACAACCATTTCTTTATTGCCTAGACCTATGTATTCTTTTTAATATTTTCGACACAAGGACACGACAGTAGAATAGAATAAAAGGATTCACCAAGAATTTTTTGTTTATAATAAAACGATATATTATTTGTTTTAATTCAAAAATTTTACAATTTTATTTTATAAAAAAGATTAAAGTGTTACAATAATAATCTTAAAAGTTTTGAAAATTAATCTTTTTAAAGATCGATGAAATTTATGAAACGAAAAAAAAAAAATCTTTAATTACTTCACAAATCGTATGAGGGTATCAACAAAAAAAAAATATATATTTTTTTCACTAATGAAAATATTTATCTGCAACCTCCATATATTTTGAATAAAAAAAGACAACAACTTGTTGAACAAAAAGTATAAACCCTAAACCATGGGACGAATCCGCCGCTGATTATAATACCCTAATTTGTTCCTTTGAAAAAGTATGAAGCATGAACCATGTTAATCAAATATTCCAATTTGTCCTCTATAAGATAAACGATAAACAATATTCTTTGCACTGATTGATTCCAAATTTTCCACCACTGTTTTTTTCAAATGATTTTGTCTCCTTGGCAGCCAAGCCAATCAACTAAGAAATTGCAAACTGCTAAACAAATTTGAA